GGCCCCCTAAATGTTTCTAATCGGAGTAACCTCCCACAGACATGGCACACATTGGGACCTCCTGGGTGGGTCCCTGCTCAGCATTGCAGGCTGGGACAGAGCACAGCGGACTGCCATAGGTGGGAACTGGTTTTCCAAGGTTCCTTGCTTCAGCACACAGCGGCCCCCAGGAGGCGGTGGCTAATTTTATACTTATTGTTTATGCTATTGAAGTTTTTGAAGAAATTCTGTCACTGCACTTTGTCCACATATCTGGGGTCCTTGGAGGACTCCCCTGGGAAAGAAAGTGTGTCAGCAAGCAGGTCTGGACCCCTGGGTCCTTGGGAAGAAGGTTCCAGAAATCTGCTGACCTCTCCTTCCTGCTCATTCCTTCCAGGGCTGCCAGTCTGGCCTGCCACCGAGAAAAGGTTCTTAGATTCCGAACACAGAGTCCTTTGAGAATTGAAGGAAAGCCAGAAAACTACCTAGAACAGTTGACAGATTCTCAGACTTAGCTTCTGTTTCCAAGGCTTGGGTTGTTAGAATTTCCAGAGGCCAGGTTCTGAACCCTTTCCTGGCATGCTGGCTTTCCCAGCAGGGGCAGGAACTGACCCGGCATCCAGGCACCAGTCAGACACTCACACTCACTGATTTTGTTTTGTTTTGTTCTTTCCATTCCTCACAAGACTCCTAAGCAGCATCCCAGCACTCAGGAAGCTGGTCAGGGTAGAGTGTTCAACACCAACTTGAGCTATCGAGTCAAAACAAGGCTAACCTGGGCAATTTAGAGGGACTGTCTTAAAAACATTTTGTTTATTTTCCACACAGAAAGCCTTGGGTCCTACCCCCAGAACTTAAAATACGTGTATATCATAAGGAGGCAATGGAGCCAGAGGCCAGAGATTCACGTACAATGATGTGCTGTGGGCGTGAAGTGTGCACAGACTTTGAAAGGTATAGAGGAAGCGCGTCACTGTCTAGTCAACCATCTGTCACTCAAGCTTAACACAGCAATTACACATAGAAGTGATAATTTTGTCATTGGGATTAACCGAATACATCACTGAAATTAATTTCACCTCCTTTTATGTTTATAGTGTGGCTATTCAAACATTTCAAGTTGCATGCATGAGTCACATCATAGTGTAATATTGCATAAATTGCACAGCCTTGCTTTGGGGAACCAACTAAAGTTTTCTGTTTGCTGTGCATCATATTGGATACATATGCATGCGTAATGCCACATGCAATTCTTTGCTGGTGCCGGCTCTGGGAGAAAAACAAGGAACACACTCTCCAGTTACATATCTTCAGTTCTAAGACGCAGCCATTGCATAGGACACCAGTGAGTCAGTTCAGCTTTTTTTTTTTTTTTTTTTTTTTTTTTTTTTATTGTGATGCTGTGATTTTTTTTTTTTTTTTTTTTTTTTTTTTTTTTTTTTTGTACTGGAGTTTGAGCCCAGGGCCCTGTGCATGTTAAGCAAGATCTCTCCCACTGAGCTGCATCCTCAACCCAAATTCAGCTTTTTGTAAAAAAATAAATATCATGTTAAACATACACATGGATTATCCATATACCTCAAATTTGGAAATGCTAAAATCTGAAAAAGTAGGTCCCCCACAGGGAGGTAAAATAACACAATATCACATAGATGTTCTGAAACCAGGCTGCTTCCTCCCATTTCCATTTTTTTTCCTATATGAGGAAGGACATTTTGGGGACGATCTTTATCCATGAGCCCTTGTCCCCTGCCCTGAACTTTTCCTCACACTAAAGTCTGTGTGGTATATTCGCCAACCCTACTGGACTTGGGGGTGCTGAGAAGATCTTTCTAACACGTCTCATGCCCAGACCCTCTCCTGGCACTTGCAATTCCCAGGAGACCTTCGCTAAGGGAGATGGATGGGAAAGGAGAACTTGGCCCTAGAACCTTGGCCATGAGTGGCTCCTCAGGAGCAAGGTTGTCTTGGACTGTAGAGGCCCATGTGATGGCCTGGGGGAAGCCTGGCTCACCTGTTCCCCACGCCGTCGTAAACCCAGTGAGTGGAACCGATGCCCTGGAAGGCCGATGCCCAGTAGTAAAGACAGGAGTTGAGGTGCAAACTGTAGAGCAGGTAGGCCGTGGTCCTGATGACCCTGCAGAGGGAGAGAGGGAGACACAGCCATGGAGGTCACACCTTGGCCTGGGGCAGCGCTCCAGGGAATGAACTAGACCTCAGCCCCCGAAGCCACCTCCTGGGTTTCCCTGCTGGAGCCACGTAACCCTGCCCAGGCAGTCACCCAGTCAGACACCCAGTCATACTCTCCTCTCTCTCCTCTGCCGGATTCCTTTAATTCTAAGGTATAGTCAGCTGCATGACACACCACTTAGTCAATCAGGTTTTTCTTTGTGGAGGGGGTTGGAATTGAACCCAGGGCACTTGACTGGACCCTTGTCAAAATTCATGGCTGCACTCAACCCAGCTGCGGCAAAGAAATCTGTAGAGACGAGTGTAAGAAAGTCAAAGGGGAAACACAGCCCGAGGAGGAGCAGGGAGCAGACAGTGTGTGCAGAGAAGTGCCGGCCAGCTCTGTGCTTCCTGAGGCAGGAACAAGGAGCGTCGCTCCCCTGACGGACACAGAAATGCTGACTTGTCCTTGAGGCGCCCTGTGAGAGTCCTTGTCACAGTAGTGAGTGTGGGTGTGTAAATAAGACATTCCTGGATCTTACTAAACAAACAAACCAAATATCCTTCCAGAGAAGAGGTTGGGCCAAGAAGAGGCCTGGCTTCTAGAGGCCATGAGGCCTGGGGGTGGGGGTGGGGGTGTCTGAGGTATGGTGTGTGTGTGTGTGTGTGTGTGTGTGTGTGTGTGTGTGCGCACACACTGACATGTATATGTGCACATGTGTGCATGGGGAACTCTCACCTGTAGACGTAGGCTTTGCTGAGGATGGCTTCCAAGCGGTTATTAAACTCGAAGAAGGCCATGTACTAGGAGGAAGAGGAGGGTGTCAGGGTAGCCCCATGCCTGCTGGGGACATGGCACACTACCCTTGCCTCCCACCCTACCCGATGGCTACCGGGTAACCTTCTTTGCCTTCTCTCTCCAGGTAACCATTGTTACCACGGTTCCCCCATTAGTAAACTACTGTCTTTGGAAAAGAGCACTGATATCATGTAAGGGGAATCGAAAGTTTAATTGGCTAGCTAGAAAAGTCCACTTAGGAAATCCTGAGTGCTCTGAGTGGCCATCGATCCTGACCACATTCAAGGACACTTGTCAGATCTCCACCCTGTGTCAAGGAGATCCTCCTTGGACCCTGGGTCCAGCCAGTGAGTGTCAGGAAAAAAAAATGGAATGACACTGAGTGCTGATGAAATGGGTACTGGGCATTCAGATCTGCCCTTGGCACACCCTTACTCCTGTTACCTTGGGCAAGTCACCCAGCCGTTCCAAGGGCCAATTTCCCCATCTTTTGAATGGAGTGCATTATAAAGCAGAAGCCCCTTCCATGAGAAGCTCTGTAGGGATGGAGTTGGAGCTAAACTAACTACATTCAAATCCAGACCCCACTCCTGCCTAGCTGTGTGACATTGGGCCAGTTCCTTAGCCTCTCTGTTCTCCTCTCCTTAAGATGGTAAGAACTGCATTCAAGTCATGGAAATGAAGAGCTAGAATTTGTAAAGTCTCTGGATCCGAGATGAACAAGAGCATCCATCCCCAAGTCACCAGCAACTATAACAAGCTTCTTACCAAGGCATGCTTGGAGGGCATTCACCTCCCCAGGGTCTCCTCTTGGGCACACCTTCCCTTCCCCAAGTGGCAGTGCCCATGCCAAGCACGGAGGAACCGAAGGCCGCGGGGACCTGCCAATCTTACCTTCAGGCAGCGGGGCAGGCGAAGGAGAGGGTTCACTCCGAGTTTCAAGTAGAGAAAGTCCAGGGGCATGAGGCAGAGCAGGTCCATCTGAAATCCCAATGGGGGACCACAGGGGATAAGGCACAGGACCCTGGGGGTAGGGGGCTAAGGGGCATGTCTCTATCTGCCAGAGAGAAGGGTCAGAAGGCTCAGGACAGCCTCAGATGAGAGGGCACAAGGTTTCCACCCACCCACCCCTGTGTGGCACCCATCTCCAATGCAGCTCTGTCACCAACCAACGTAAGGGACCCCCTGCTGCCTAATTGGAGGTGGAGGCACAGATGTGGAGAGGTGTTCTGTGAGGGCCGCCCAGTCCGTGCTGTCCCGGAAGGCGTATGGCCTAGTGGGCATTCCCATGAAAGATGAGACTAGCCTCCCCTTATGTGCCAGGAACTACATGACACAGGCCCCCACATACCCAGGCCCTCTGAGACCCAGGGGCAACCGCCCATATCCCCTCTGTACACACCTTAAACCGGCGAGACTTCAGATAGTTATTGCGCATCTCCTTTTTGTCTGTCTGGAAGAAGGAGGCACAGAGATGGGGAAATGGTGTTAGGTTAAGTTCTGACCAGAGAGAGCCAGGGTGCCTGCCCAGGTGCACGCAGCCACGCTGCTGGGAAGGGCTTATGGTTTCGGGTGGGTAAACTAGCCGTGGGAATGAGCCTTGATGGAGTCACCAGCCAGACCGATCTCATGGACGGAGGAAAGTGGAGACCTAGTCTCTCAGCGAGCGCCCAGCCCTCCCAGGACTACTGGCCACTTGATTTGTGAGGAGCTGGCCACTGCTCGGATGGAGCTAGGGAGGAGGCTGGCCAAGGACTCCTTGCTTATTACCAACACTTTCATATGCTGTCTAGGGTTAGCACAGGCTCCTCAAGCATCTTGGATTCACATCACACTTTAATTCATGGTGCCTGTCGTTAACAATAGCATTTGCAGCCTGTGAAGTAGCTCTTGGCTTAGCATCACTTGCCATGGCATCCAACGCATATGGTACAACGTCCAAAACCTTAACTTCTATACTGTTAAATTTTACTTTGCCAACTGTCATAC